ATAACAAAAATTAAAGCAACAAGATGAAAAATCAGAAAGTTGTCAAAAACAAATTTGAAGGCTCGAACGCGGGATCACTATCCTCAAACGATATTTGCCACCTCTCGAAATTGAATGAGATGCTTAAGGTTTTAGCAAATAGTTTGTCGGATTATATCAAGCCTTGTAAATAATTTAATACTAAAGTACAAGTGCAATCCTCCAAAATTTTAAAAACACTAGGAAGATATTAAATATGAATGTAAATCAATAATTTGATTCAATATAGAATGATTTGTGGATCTCAAGATTTTTTCAATGTTTTCTCATATGTTTGTATTGATGATTCATCACTTATTTATAGGCCTCAACCAATACACCACGAAATGATGCCAAAACTTGATAAAAAGTGACAACTTTTAATTCAAAATAATAGCCAAGTTTCAAATTAAAAAATCAGCCAATGTCTAGTATAAATCTTGTGAACGCATAATAGAAGTAAATTCAACAATAGCTCGACTAAAAGGGGATAGGGAGAGTTGACGGAAAATGCATGACGGGAGCTTTTACATCCTCTTATATGCATGGAAGACCTGAGTGAATAAAAAATCCCAAAAAAAAGTGGCCCCATCCCCTACTGTGAGACTTCTGTCGAGTATTTTTGATCAATGTAGCATCATTGAAAAATAATTATGTAGCTGGAAATAGAAACCTTGTTGGCTTTTAATATTGTTGGTTTAACTTTCTTTATGTCGTCGAAACGCAATTCAAGTAACCATGGTAAATCTTGACCTTTTAACTTTTTGTGTTATACGATCTCACAAATAAGTTGTTAATGATTTTGCACCACCAAATGGAAGAGTGTACAATATTGAGTGGAGAAAAGCATACATAGTGAAGAAAGAAGCATAAGTCATTAAAAAGTGACTTAAGTAATCCATCTGACTTTGAGAAAGCTCTTACAAATCATTTTCCAGTATTTCCTATCATCTTCTGCTTCCATTACGTTCAACTTGGCTTCTTCTGCAAAACCCTTCTGCGATTGTAAAAAAATTACATAAAAAATGAGTTTGCAGAGTATAAGAAATAGTGAAAAACAATTGCAGCAGTTAAATTGACCATTGCATGTGCCTGTAATGCATAATTCACATAAATTCATTGGGTTATTTGGATGTGAATAACGTAAAAAGTGGCAAAAATTTAAATTGACTGTCAACTCTCTGCAAATCCTTTTCCTTTATTCGAGTTAAGGACCTGCTATTGAAAGGAAAAAGGTCTCAACGTGTAACAAAATTTACTATTACCATCTCTTAATCGATTACAAATGAAAACTATAGTTACGATAAGTGAATTTACAATATATGATTTGTCTACCTCAAAGGAGATGTTCGAAAGAAGCTGATCAATGATATTGTCAAGAATGTCTTTATTATATTCAGGATGTCCCTGAATTCCTAGAATGTAGTCTCCAAATTTGAACATTTCTACACATGTTTTATCAGAACATGCAAGAACTTGTGCTCCCTCAGGCACTTCACAAACCTGTCAATTAATTTCACAACCTGTCAAATTTCTTCAATGAAGTTAAAAATAAAAATAACAACAACAATAACAAAAACTAAACATGTAAATAGAGCGTGAAAAAATTAAAAAAGAGATATATACCTCATCTTTATGGCATTCAATGATTGAAAGAGAGGGAGGAATTCCATTCAAACTATCGTTAATGTATTCCTCGGTAAACCTAACCTTTCTTATTCCAATATCCCAACCACTATATGCTTTCCCAACTTTTCCTCCCAAAGCTCTACACAA